GATGAAGCAGCTCAGTTCATGGCACACACGGAGCGTTATGTGAAAGCCTGTGGGGATGCATCCCGGTCGTTGGGACCTGACTTCTTCGATGCATTGTCCGCTGACTGTCGGGGTGAAACCCGAGTTTTGTTTCGACACTGTGTCTTGAAGCTGGCCTACACTGCTCCTTTGAAGACCGTGTCTGTAACCGATTGCAAAAAGGCCACCGCGGTCAACACAGGCACTGCGATTAAGAAGGCAGAGGAGGTGCTCAATCGGGTGAAGGACTTGGCCGGGAAATCGACTCTTGCCGATGACAGCAAGTTCCTCATGATCATCGGGAACCTTGAGTGCGATTTGGCGAGGGTGGTCCTAGACAAGGTGAAGCGGAGGGACGCTCCGGATCATCTTCAGTCCGTGGAGCACGCAGGAAACCACGCCGTGACCCAGTTGAACGCTGCAGGCATCAATCCCCCCTTGAGCCTTCCATGGGTGATGCCATCGACAGCAAGCCCTTCCAAGCCATCGACGCTCAGCCCAGCCAAGCCGACAGGTTCAGCATCAAGCCCCAAGCTACAGACAGGGTTTCTCGTTGCAGTGTTAAGAGGGGTCCTGTTGAATGATGTCTGAATATAAGATACAAGGACACTGCAGCTGAGACGTGAGCAAGCATCACATGCATGACGGTCAATGGAAGGCCTGTCGTGAAATACGTGTAGAGCAGAGAGCTCGATATGCACGTCTGTGCTACACATATGCACATGTGCACACGCAGGCAAGCATGCGAACAGTACACACCACTGTATATAAGGCAAACTTGAAGAACTCACATCTACGGTATATATGCATGTTTTCGTGCAGAGACCTCGAGGCTAAAAACGTACGACAGCGCCGGCAAGGTGGTCGACCATGCCGACATGGAGGCACTTGGCTTCCATATCAACCAAGCCGTTCGCCGCAGGAAAGACAATCAACAAGCTCACATCCTCAAGTGGGACACAGACAAGGTCACGCTCACACTTCCTAACAATGCGGTCGTTGAGGCCACCCTGGCGAGCTTCCGAGAAGGCGCCTGGGTTGCATCCGCGCAAAAGGAAGCAGCCGAGCCTTTGGAGAACTGGCACGATCATCTTCCCAACCATTCCGTGGACTGGCATTTCGCCAGGGCGAAGGCCAACATTGTGTTGGCAGTAATGGACCAGTGCGAGAAGTTGCCAAAGGGCATGAATGGCTTGGATCTGATTATGAAGCCGCGCTCTGTGCAGGCCACGAAGAAGTTCTCAGCCAAAAGCTTGGTGTTGGCTCCGTCTACGCACAGGATCGACGTTCGCATCCTTGGCGACAAAGTCCCGAATGTGAGCGGCATCTCTTTGGGTCGGTTTCCTTTGAAGGTATCCGGTCAGTCTCGTGAGATCTTGGTGACGCTGCAACCGTGCACCGTCATCCCTGACCCAGATCAAGGGAAAGCTGGGTTTCTTAGCCCCTTCTGGTTTTTGAAAACCAGCAGTGATGAGCACGAATGCAACATGAAGATGAGCCCCGACATCTCGAGCGAGACGGTGCATTCTTCGATCGATCGTTTAAAGGTACCCACGGCCTTCAACACTAAGGCGATCGCCAAGGGCGAGGCTTTGGTGCTGTACAAGGCAGAGAAGGAGCGCGATCCCATGGAAGACCTCGTGGTTGTGTCCCAACCAACTAAGAAGCCTCGCAGGAGCTGAACAGCTACACGCAGGCAAGCATCCAGCAGCAAGTGTAGCCGAGGATACCTGGTGCGCCGTCTCATCAATGAGTTCACACTAGATTTGAGCAACAGTTGAGGCCATTTATCTGCATGATACACACAAACATGACATCCTATATACATGTGTGTATATGTATATATATATACATGTCTAGATATTCATATACATATATATATATATACATATAGAGGAGCGGCATAGCCGGTGCACCGTCTCATCACGTGGTTGCTGAAATTTTGGGAAAAAATGCTGCTGCCGGGAAGCTGGGATCGCATGTTTACACGGCAAATCTATGTTGTGTGCCTGCATTCATGGTGGCCCCATGCAACTGCACTCTTCTTGCGGTTGGTCTTTGACGGCTCGGGGCAGGGCATATACAGCTCGCCATTGAGCTTGCGCAGGGAGTGCATGCATTCTCGCGCAGGATAGCAGCTGCCCAGTAGTTTTGTACTATACATATATCTGTTATAGAGCCATGGCCCGTGGACAGCGTGGTACGCCTAGAACAACACTAGGAGAGCTGACCATCGAAACCGTCGTCTGCATCTCCGAAAAAGACAATAAGAAGAAATGGTTCCCCAGCCACAAGGAGGTGGAAGGCGTGCAGTACATCAACCTGGAAAAATTTGACCGAGGCTTTTGCCTCTTCGCCACAGGGAGGGCCTTGGAACTGACGAAAGAGCGGAAGGTCAATCACTGTAACGTCCAGGGATATCGGGATCTGCTGGAGGCCCGCGATGAAGCTTGCCAGCAGCTGTTTCAGAGGCATCTCCAGCACGCAGCGGAGCTTGTTGGAGAGAAGCTGGAAAAGTGCCGGCGGGCAAGAGAGGAAGATCAGTACATAGCCGGGCGCAGTGTTCTGGCGACCCTGCCAAGAATCGACAAGGAGCCGTGGCAACACCCTGGGCTTTCCATGCGGATGCTTTGGAGCGTGAAGAGCCCGGACATATGGATCGAGTTGAAGGAGGAGAACTTGGACTATGTTCGCCGCTGCATCAGGGCAACACTCCCTGAGGAGGAGGATGCCCAACCGATTCGTCGCAGGCGCAAGCTCCGGGAGCCTAATGCAGGGTCGCCACCCAGTCGCCGCCGCCGTGTGCTGCAGAACCGGAAGCGCGAACAGGAGGAGGCACATGCCTCGCCTGAGCCCGTGCAGGCGAATGAACCCGTCCAGGAGCCCAAGGCCTTACCTGTGTTTCCATTTCCCGAAGAGGCAGCGGCTATAGGCGACCAAAGCTCGGGTTCCTCATCTAGCTCCGAGGCCTGAGCATTGCCCCAAGAGCGGGCGGCGGCAGGCCACGAAGCCTCTTTTTGCCTCATCCATTCTATGTCATGTAACGTTATCTATACATGCTGTACCAGCTTTTGATGCTCCGTTGTCTTCGAAGCAATGCATAAAAGGTTGCACTCGGCTGTTGCCATGCCTCTGCAAATGCTATGGGGAGTCGTGTGCATAGGCGGGAGAGCAAGCAGCTAACCTCTGAGGTCGCAGGCGTGCAGAACCCTCACATGTCGCTGCGGGCTGGCTGCAGCCGAGGAGCTTCACCGATGGGATTAGTGATTTTGTGTAGTACAGTCGGGTCGCGAGGCCACAATGGGATTAGTGATTTTGTGTAGTACAGTCGGGTCGCGAGGCCACAATGTAATCAGAGCAATGGTTTTCTCTGCAATCCTCTTGCCTTTGAACACCAGCCACACCATGTATTCACATCAGCGGCACGAAACGAGCACAATGTCGATCGACATTCGGGGCTCGGCGCGCAATGTCGATCGACATTGCGCGCGTGCCCCCAATGTCGATCGACATTGGGGGGTTCAGGGGCCAGCCCCGGAATGTCGATCGACATTGGGGGCTCGGCGCGCAATGTCGATCGACATTGCGCGCGCGCCCCCAATGTCGATCGACATTGGGGGCGTTTCGGCGGACTGGGTTTTCCAACTCAGCTTGAAAAAAAAAAAATCGGCGAGAGTTCCGTCTGGGGGGGCCCGCCCCCATGGAAGTGAAAGTGTGTGGCTCCGCGGCAAAGCATTATTTTGGGGGATTCGCTGCAGATGGGATAATAAAAAATCGGCGAGAGTTCCGTTTGGGGGGGCCCGCCCCCATGGCAGTCAAAGTTTGTTGCTCCGCGGCAAAGCACTATTTTGGGGGATTCGCTGCAGATGGGATAATAAAAAATCGGCGAGAGTTCCGTTTGGGGGGGCCCGCCCCCATGGAAGTGAAAGTGTGTTGTTCCGCGGCAAAGCACTATTTGTGGGGATTCGTTGCAGATGGGATAATAAAAAATCGGCGAGAGTTCCGTTTGGGGGGGCCCGCCCCCATGGCAGTGAAAGTGTGTTGCTCCGCGGCAAAGCACTATTTTGGGGGATTCGCTGCAGATGGGAGAATAAAAAATCGGCGAGAGTTCCGTTTGGGGGGGCCCGCCCCCATGGCAGTCAAAGTTTGTTGCTCCGCGGCTAAGCACTATTTTGGGGGATTCGCTGCAGATGGGATAATAAAAAATCGGCGAGAGTTCCGTTTGGGGGGGCCCGCCCCCATGGAAGTGAAAGTGTGTTGTTCCGCGGCAAAGCACTATTTTTGGGGATTCGCTGCAGATGGGATAATAAAAAATCGGCGAGAGTTCCGTTTGGGGGGGCCCGCCCCCATGGCAGTGAAAGTGTGCTGCTCCGCGGCAAAGCACTATTTTGGGGGATTCGCTGCAGATGGGATAATAAAAAATCGGCGAGAGTTCCGTTTGGGGGGGCCCGCCCCCATGGAAGTGAAAGTTTGTTGCTCCGCGGCAAAGCACTATTTTGGGGGATTCGCTGCAGATGGGATAATAAAAAATCGGCGAGAGTTCCGTTTGGGGGGCCCGCCCCCATGGCAGTGAAAGAGTGTTGCTCCGCGGCAAAGCATTATTTTTGGGGGATTCGCTGCAGATGGGATAATAAAAAATCGGCGAGAGTTCCGTTTGGGGGGGCCCGCCCCCATGGAAGTGAAAGTGTGTTGTTCCGCGGCAAAGCACTATTTTTGGTGATTCGCTGCAGATGGGATAATAAAAAA